CCTTCGGCACCCCCTTCGGCACCTAAGTTTTTCTACAGTTGGGGGAAGTGCAAGTGGGATTTATTCATCAAGGACTTCGACGCACAACTTCCGGCATATGACTATAAAAGCAGTCCACCGGCATTAAGGCTTTCACGAGAGCGCTTATAACTTCGTATCGACGACATTGACCCCGCGGCATGCACAAGGACGGTCCCAGGCTTTGGGACGACACTCTCGTGGAGGCAGAGCGGATTGCTACCGACAGCAAGGCCCGCTATCTACAGTTACCGACGCCCGACCGTGAGGCAGAAATGCAACGGACAAGGAGTCAATTCTTCCTCCTACTCCGAGAGCGCGTGCGCAACACGTATCTACGTCGCATCAGCAAGTTTAATCCAGGCGAGCCACTCACATGGAAATACATTTCCGGACGAAAAAAGGCATCACTTCCATCTCCCACATCAATGTTATTAGGAGATGGTCAACACACTTACAAAACAGCAAGGAGAGCAGCGAATGCTCTCAATCGCATCTTTCTTCCATTTCACCCCTCTCACAAGGCAGTTAGGTTTTCCAAAGGCATCAACAGACAGAGTGCATCTTTGAACATTAATGCTTCTTTTCTTTTTGGGCAGCAGAACAACAACGAGTCTGCCGCTACGTCTACTTCAGGTTCTTCACTCCCATCTAGTTCTGAGTCACAGGATAAAAACGAAGCTGCCACCACATCTGGTTTAGTTGCTCATCTTCACTCCCCTCTTGATGCACCTTTTAATCGTACGGAACTGCTTGCTGCGCTACGTAATACGCCGTATGGCAAGGCCCCCGGACCGGATGAAGTCTACAGTGAGGCACTGCGACATATTTCGTCAAAGGGCCTCCGATTCCTTCTTCGTTGCATTAACCACAGCTGGACGACCGGTACGATTCCGGTTGAGTGGAGACGCGCTACCATCGTTCCACTCTTAAAACCCGGTAAGTCGCCGGAACTGCTTGAGTCATATCGACCCATCAGCCTTACCTCCATTGTAAGTAAGGTTGCTGAGAAAATGGTACTGAAGAGATTGCTTTGGGTGTGGACGCCGCACCCCCACCAGTATGCATATCGTAGTATGCGTACTACGACGATGCAGCTGGCACACCTGATACACGATGTGGAGCATAATAGAAATCATTATTTCCAAGTGAGCCTTCCCAAGAAGAGCGGTATTGGCAATCAACTCCACTACAGACCCCATCGGACCCTGCTGGTGTTGGTTGATTTCAGCAAGGCTTTTGACTCCATAGATCATCGAGTCCTCAGTCGCTTGCTGGCTAATATTCCGGGGGTGAATTGTAGAAGGTGGCTTAGAAACTTTCTATGTGGTCGCTACGCGAAGACACGAGTTGGCCACAGACACAGCGATCGGCGTCCCATGCTGCGAGGAGTTCCTCAGGGGTCCGTGCTGTGACCATATTTGTTCTCCCTTTACGCACACCCACTTCTCAATCTGCTGAACAGCTTTGCGGGTGTCACAGCAGACATGTATGCGGACGACCTCTCTATTATCGTTAGGGGGCAGTCCCGGGAAGACGCCATTCCCACTGCCAACATGGTTCTTGAAAAACTGCATGCGTGGAGTCAGGAAAATGGCCTGGCCATCAACCCGTCAAAGTGTGAAGCTGCTTGGTTCACACTATCCACGCACACGGAGTCAGATTATGATCGTGAAGGAAAGTGGCCGCTGGTAGTGGCTGGATGTCAAATCCCAGTCATGACCATGGGGGCATCGCGAACTACGAAGCTTCTCGGCATGGATCTCGATCCACGACTGACGCTAAATGTGGCGGCCACCAAGCAATGCGCTGCCACTTCGCAACGGATATCGCAGCTACGCTGCATAGCGCACAAAGAGGCGGGACCATCTCCACATGACCTACGCACGTTCGTCATTGGATACGGTGCTCCCTAATTACGCTATGGCAGCGAGCTCATATGGGCAGTAGCGACGGATTCAGCGAAGAATGAGATGCAGAAGACGTACGCAACCCTAGCACGCATTGTCAGCGGAGTTCCGAGCACTGTTGACCCGGAATCCGCACTGCTGGAGGCTAATATGCCGCCGCTCCACGTCCTTTGCCTGCGCGCGCGGCTCTCCATATTTGAGAACACACGCACATGTCAGATGGACTGGATGCGGAGACCCCCGCCTGAGCCGCCGCCTCGCGCTGGTTTCCGCATCTCGCCATTATCTCGGGACGAGCTATATGCCTTCGTAGACGCATACACAAAGGACTATGGCATCACCGAGAGCTCACCACGCGAAGAGCGGTTCTTTCGCAGCTCCATTCCTCCCTGGTTTGCGGCCTCCGCTCACCGGGTCACCATCGGTGTGGAACTTCCGATAGACCACTCAATAACCGACGAAGAAGAGCTGATGAGGGAAAAGCGCAGAGTCAGCGAAGAGGCTCTGGCGCTGCACAGCCATCGTTCGTGGATACTTGCGACCGATGGCGGTGTCGACGTTCCCAAGTCAGCAGGGGTTGGAATACTGCTTTCATCCCTCAACTCATCGGAGATAATAGAAAAGGCCAGCATAAAATGCGGTGCACGCCCATGCAGCTACAGGACGGAATCCCGTGCGCTGCTTCTAGCCCTAGAGAAGCTGATGATTCCTCGTATCCGCCACAGGCGTAAAGCCCTGCTTGTGGTTACGGACAGTCAGTCTCTTCTAGCGGCTCTAAACAAGGGCCCGCTCAGTCAGACAGACTGGACGGAGGATCGGCTCTGGCAGCGTCTCTTGACACTGACGCGTGCTGGCTGGTCCGTGCACCTGCAGTTTTGTTACGGACATTGCGGAGTACACGTTAACGAGCCTGCAGATCAGCATGCGACGCAGAACACGGCAACCGGGCAACACACGGAACATGGAATAGCACCCATACAGCGCACGAACCTGCTGACATGCATTAACACCCAGCTCACCAACAAGTGGCGTAGTACCATGCATCAGGACACCCACCACTACCTGCTTGGCGGCGCCAGGCCATCAGATCCAGGCGGCAAGCACCTGATCACTCAGGAGGCCCTCGACCAACAGGAACGGATACACACTGCACGGGAAGGTTGCGGGGAATCCGAGCTCTGGGGTCGCCTGTACTGGACTGTGAGAGACTGCACGAACCAACGCCGTTTCCGCAACATCTCACCGGAACAGTCTGCTTTCATGCGCTCCAACGACGATCCCACCGCACCGGGACGGACGCTGTTCCCCCGACAACAAGGGAGGCCGACGCACCGCCTGTGGAGAGACGGCCCTCCACACGCCGTCGGAAGAAGAAATGCCCGCACTGTGACGCCACACTGGTGGGACACACGAACCACATCGGTCACTGTCGGTGCTTTCATCCGGAACGCCCTCCACCGCTTCCCGACCTCCACCGCGATTGCTGCGACACAGTCCTCCCCACACAAAAAAAGTACCGCACAGCACAGGAATCGCTGCGCACAGAACCCAGACGCTACTCGACACCGCAGCAGCAGTGCCAGGAGGCAATCACTGCTACCGCAGGATCAGCCAGCCTCCACAAGCGCAAAAATTAGCCCGCAGAAAACACTGCACCAACTGCTTCCGGAATGTACAGACGCTCTGGCTGTGCGCCAACGGCTGGGCATTAAGAAGGACCTTGGCACCGAAAGGTTCTCCCAATGGCAGCTGCCTCATAGCAGAAAACTCATGTCGCTGCTCGACCACCTCCTCGGCACCCTGGTGACATCGTGTGGCTAGACATGTCGGTAAGAGCAGGGAATAATAATAATAATGAGCATTCCCGCCACTGTAGAGACGCGGTGCATCTTGCGATCCCGCTGGCGGCTCTCCTCTTCCACCGCTGTTTTTGCGCAAGAGGTCATCACAGTCATTTTTGTGGTTTGGTCGGCCTCGTGTTGCGCTCCGGGTTCTCCTCCTTCATCGCCCTGCGGTGCCTCCTTCGCCGTCCCTGGCACCTGTGACTGTCCCGTGACGGTTTGTTCCGAGGCCTGACTGCCCTGGGAGGTCCTCCCGCCACCAGCATGCACTCCACCCGCTGCCTGCTGAGATGCGTCGGAGCGTGGGGATGTTGTGCCTGCAGCGTGCCCGCCGCCCAAAGACTCCGGTCCACTTGCACGCATCCGAGCAGCAGACACGCTGCCAGTGCCGGACGGATTGCAAGTGCCACTTCGCAGTGGGTCGCTGCTGGATTGGCCCTGCCTCGTCGGAGCAGTGAGTGGTCCTCCCGAGGTGGGATTATGGTCCTCACCCGCGGTGCTTCCTCCACCCTCCTCGTCTTCCTGATTGCTATTGTCCTCAGAGTTCACATTCCCCTTTCGTCCAGAGCCACCGGCCACAGGTCCACCTTCCGCAGCCATCACACCCCGCGCGTGCCCAGCAGTCACCGCGCCATCACCCGCGGGCCGCACACGCACCCCGTCGCAGCAGCCCTCACTCACACGCACCAGCAGCTGCGCATCACTGCAGGAGCCAACAGGACGCAGAGCACACGGCCAGTCATCATCACAAACAGTGGAGTTGCCTAACGCTGCGGAGCCAACCTCCGATAGCATGAGAAAAACAAAGGGAGACACAGCCGCTACACCACGCACAGCCACCGCACAGCAACAAATGGCAGCACCCCAGCAGCGGCAGCGCACACACCACGGGACAGATGGAGTCAGTACGATTGCAGAGCTCGCACACCGCACCGCAAACCACAAGTTTAAAAAGCAATAAAAAACAAGAATTAAAAAACAATAATTAAAAACAAATTAAAAAAGAAAAGGAAAACAAACCCAGGGCTCCAGTGCGCATGCTTGTGAGTGTGTCCGCGATGCGTTCAACGTGGCGGATGCGGGGCACAACGCGGAGCACACAGCACGGCAGCAGAAGCAAGTGAAGCAAAACAAGATCATTATTTCTCTTATTTTATACAGTGAACCACAACACACACGCACACAAATCCCCGCGTTTGAGTGCTGGCACGCACAGCCCGCACACACCTCTTCAGCCCAGAGCGGTGTACGCCAGCGCGGATGCGGCAAGCACCAGCGGGGCACACACCCACGCAGAGCTGCTGAGGCTGCCGTCGATTTCGCGGAGACGTGACGGTGCGCGGGTGGTCGTAGTAGTGGCTGGCGCCTCTGTAGTCGTAGTACTTGGTGCCTCTGGTGCAGTAGTGGTGGTCGTGGTTGGTGCCTGTGTTGTGGTCGTCGTGGTCTTCTGGGCAGCATCTTTGGCCTCACGAGCTGCTTTATCTGCGGATGTATTAGTGGCACTTTGTCCTCCTGTTGTACCGTCCTTGCCTTTTCCCTGTACCGTATTGGGCACCATATTTGAGTGCGCTTCCCCAGCGGTCACACCTGGTCCTTCTCCGTCAACGTTTCCCTCATCCAGAACGGAACCCGTACTTGACGATCCTGTCGAACCAGGGGCCGGTGGTTCTTCCTCCGGTAATCCTAATAGAGGGGTCAACAGACTGGTGGCCTTTACATTAGGGTCATCCGAATTACCAATTGGCGGCAGTGGTGAAGAAGGCGATGGATCAGGGACGCCCAAACCAGCTTCAGGCCCAGACTGAGTGTCTGCCACGCAGAGGGACGGGCAGCAGCACAGGGCAAGCACCAGCAGGGCGCACAGCAGACGGCACGTCATCATCGTGAGTGTGGTCGTTCAGTGGTGTGGAGCTGATCTGCACAGTGAGGGACATGGAGAACAACAGGGAGACGAGAGGTGCGGCAGACACACACAGAGGGCACACCACATGAGGAGAGGGCAGCAGCCAGGCATGCACCGTACGCCGCACACCACGCACCACACACACTCCAATCCACGGCGGCAGGCACACACACACACAGCCCTGCCGCAACACCAACACACAGATGGAAGAGGGAGAAGCAAACAGGAGCGGCACACAAGGCTCCACCGCATGCACATGCGGCGAGAGCGGTCCGTCGTGTCGGCACACAGCAACACAAAAGCAAAGTAACAATACAAAAAGGAGATCCCCGCACACCACGCGGATTGTTGGTCCACGGGAAGTGCAGCCAATATTCACCACAAGCAGTTCAGTTGCCGTAGGCCTTCGTTCACATTCACGGCTCTCTCTCCCTCACTCTCACGCGGCCACCACCGCGGCAGGAGCTGCTGCACACGCAACAACAACAAGAAGAAAAGGAGGTGGTGTGGGAGACCGCGGTGCTGCTGTCACTGTCGCAAACCTTTTATTAGCGCCGGTTTGGCGTTTTTCTGTCAATGCAGCATCCGGAGTTCGAGCATCCTCAGATGTCTTCGTCCCTGTGGAGTGTTCCTCCTCAAAAGGGGAAGGTTATTCGCTTGTAGATGGCTCAGTTTCTTGTTCTTGACTGCCAGTTGATGTACTCTGCGCCGTACCTTCCGTGGAGGCAGAATATTCCTTACTTTCCTTTTGTAGTTCGGGTAGGTTCGTGGATGTATCCGTGCTTTGGCTTTCATTCGTCTTTTGTTCCGGAGTTAACACTTCATTTTGGGTTTTGTGCTCCGGCGGTACTGTGTTTGGCACTGTCGTTTGGACCTGTTCACTGCTTTCTGATTCTTCACCTGGACTCTTTAATAAGTCTTCTTCTCTGGGGTTCTCTGGATCCTCGTTTCCACTATTTTCCACTCCCAATGAGGACTGACCTGCTCCACCCTTACTGTTCTCGCCAACACCTTCACCCTTTGTGAAGAAGAAATTTGTGGCTGAGGTTGCTGTAGTACATTTAATTGCGCTTTTGGCGGTTGCCCTACTTCCTGTTCTTTATTTTGTATTTCTGGCTTTGTTTTTCCTTGTTCTGGAGCATTTTTCAAACGTTCTTCTAATTGCTCTGAAGAGCTTCTATCTTCACCCTCCACTCCAGGAGCAACAAAAAGTTGATCATTTTTAACTTCTTTTCCTTCCAAGGATTTTCCTTCAGACTTTTCTGTTGATTGATTAACCTTGGGCAAACCTTTTTTGGATCTGAGCTATCTGATCCCGGCGTTGAAGTTCAAGTCGACCCCACAGCAACTTTACCACCACCGGCAGTAATCTCCACCACCTCCTCGTCACATCTACCGCCGGCACCGCACCACAGCACGCAGAGGGCACACACCAGCAGCACACGGCCAGTCATTATCGCCACCACTCCTGTCACTTGCGTGTAGCCTTCAGCAAAAGTAACACCACGTCAACAGAGAAAAAGACAAAAAGATAGACACGGCTGCTACACCACGCACAGCAACAAATGGCAATGAAAACACCATGAGGCAGTTGTAATCAGTACAATTGCAGAGCTCGCACAGTGCTCCCCAAACCAAAAGTTAAAAAAGCAGTAAAAAAGGCACAACAGCAGAGTTGAGAGTCCGGTAAAATTCCCAAAAAGTAAAAAATAAAAAATCGATCAGGGACGTCCTTTATTTTATGTTTCAAGCAGCGCAACGTAAACGACCACTAGTTTTTATATACGTAATGCCTGCAGTAAAAAATCAAAAAAGATCGTGCTTTTCCGTGAGCCCACACAACTCTCCTCACATTTCGTGCGTCACCCAGTCTTTTCTTCCAATCCTCCTTTCGTGCAGTCCGTGGGACGCACAGCAATGAGGCCGGCACCGCGTGTGGGCAACGGAAGGAAACAAGAGGAGAAGCACGTCACTCATGACGAAGTGCAGCAAACGGACATTGGGGAAAAACACAGGGATACCGATTATTCCAATAGGGCAAAAGCAGCAAAAATAAACAAATAAAATAAAATAAAAAAACTTAAATTATTGACACAACTCATTGGATAATGCTGGCAAGCTGTACAGTTATTGTTCCACGAAAAGCCGCAGTTCCACCCTCCCTCACACTTCAGCAAAGCGCCGCAGTGCCCCACAGTCCCAGAATCAAAAGCAACATCACCCGAGACACACACCCATGCACGGCGATGTCACCAATTTCGGCCATGGACAACAAATCCGTGAGATGCCCCTGCTCACAAAAACCGTTGCTAACAAGTGATGCTGCGTCGTACTCCGATGGGATCTCTGGTTTCCCAGGCGCTATGCTCAAAAAAGTCGGCGCGGCACCAGCGCCACCCGACACGTTACCACTCGTTCAACATTTGCTAGGACTGTGATGGGCTCAGGCGTGGCTGTTGTACCATCCAAGAGCATTAGATCACTGTTGCTGCGTGAATCGGGGCCGCTGCCCGCGCCCACGGCAGTGCGGGCATACGTGTCCTATTCATGGTCAACGTGTTGTTAGTCGCTGGAAACTGTGTTGGCGGTGGGCGGCTCGTCTTCTCTTGCTGTGCGTGCGTCTGGATCCGCCGCGCTGCCACTTTACTCCCCGGACAGCGAAGCTCCCTGTGGGGCCTCACCGCGCAGCTGCTGGCAGCCTTGCATGCACCTGCCGAGCGGAGTGTCCTGCCACTGAGCATGGCCTCGGACACTTCCCAGTTCCCTGCCTGGCGGCAGCGTCCCAATTGCCCACGCGAGTTCCTTTCGCCACGGACTCCCTCTCGGCAATTGAGGCGCTCCGCCTTGGACCGCTGGCGGTGCACGACGACTTCACCGAAGAGATTTGCACCGTGCTGCTTTCCTTGGTGGAGCGGGGTCACCCTGTGGATTTTATATTTTCCATCACACTGCGGTATTCCACGCAGTGAGGCCGCTGACAAACAAGCCACGATTGCACGATCCCTCTCGCAGGACTGCGTCAATGCCTGGCACGTGGGCTTCCTTACCGCCGTCAAGAGGTTATAATGGAAGGATGACCAGGAGGAAAAGGAGGGCGCGCACACCGCGTGACAGGCGCCTGTCGGTGTGGCGAGGACTCTATTCCTGGTGCTGACCCGGACATCGGTCCCCGAGTGGCGGCACTGCGCAAAGGCGCGATGCGACTCCTGCCCACTCTTCGACAGGCCTGCACGCGCCCTGCGGATCACAAGGAACCCTCTGTGTCGGTGGTGCCGTCCCTCCCTCACTGCGGTGACCGGCCCGCCTCTGCCTCCGCCGGAACCTCTTCCCGAAGTGAGCACCGCAACTCCTTGTCGACCGGCGAGCGGCGGATTGACGTCCTCCTGCCCAACCTGCGGCAGAGTGCGCATGTCCGTCCACAGTATGAGGGCACATGCCGGACGTGCTCAGCCTGGCGTTATAATAGTTAGCGAGGGCCTCCCATGCGGATGCCGCAATGGCGCCACCGTCTTCTTAACAGGCGCCTCGCGCGCAGGTCGCCACCGAAGTTGCCAAGCACGCCAGCAGGCAAGACACGCAGGAAGCACAAACGCGGGTACTCGAGATGGACCAGGCTCTTCCGCCACCGCCTCATCACGGACGCCACGGGCTGCTGATCCCCGACGGACCACGGGAGACTCCGCCTCATCCACTGCGGGAATGCCCTCGTCGTTGGGAACTGGGACTGCGACTGTTTGTGAATGCCCCAGCCCGCACGACGGAATACTTGCCACTTTTGTACGGACGGCCCTTGCGCTACTCACTCGCTATTGTAGCAGCATGCAACCAAAACAAGATAACAAGCTGCTTTGTGGTGAATATTGGCTGCACTTCCCGTGGACCAACAATCCGCGTGGTGTGCGGGGATCTCCTTTTTGTATTGTTACTTTGCTTTTGTGTTGCTGTGTGCCGACACGACGGACCGCTCTCGCCGCATGTGCGTGCGGTGGAGCCTTGTGTGCCGCTCCTGTTTGCTTGTCCCTCCTCCATCTGTGTGTGTTGTTGCGGCAGGGCTGTGTGTGTGTGTGCCTGCCGCCGTGGATTGGAGTGTGTGTGGTGCGTGGTGTGCGGCGTACGGTGCATGCCTGGCTGCTGCCCTCTCCTCATGTGGTGTGCCCTCTGTGTGTGTCTGCCGCACCTCTCGTCTCCCCTGTTGCTCTCCATTTCCCTCACTGTGCAGATCAGCTCCACACCACTGAACGACCACACTCACGATGATGACGTGCCGTCTGCTGTGCGCCCTGTTGGTGGTTGCCCTGTGCTGCTGCCCGTCCGTGTGCGCGACAAAGGCTCAGTTGGAGGATACTGGAAGTCTTGTTGAAGAAGTAGGCGAAATACAGCCGCCTCTTCCACAACAGACACCTGCTCAGAAAGGTGAAGGGCCGGGCGCGGAAAATGGAAATACTGCCAGAGGTGCAGGGAAAGGAGGCGGTAAGACCACTCCGCATCCGCAATCAAGTGCTACTCCCAATAAGGTACAAGAAAAAGGTGCGGAAGAAACTTCTGGGACAAAAATTGTCACGAGAGCATCCACAGAACAAGGAAATAAAAATGTCGACGATTCTACCGAGGAAGCTGCTGCCACTTCTTCCCAGACGACCACGACGACGACAACAAAATCACCAACCACGACCACGACCTCCACCACTACAACAGAGGCACCAAGTACTACGACTACAGAGGCGCCAACTACAACGACCACCCGCGCACCGTCACGTCTTCGCGAAATGGACGGCAGCCTCAGCAGCTCTGCGTGGGTGTGTGCCCCGCTGGTGCTCGCCGCATCCGCGCTGGCGTACACCGCTGTGGGCTGAAGAGGTGTGTGCGGGCTGTGCGTGCCAGCACTCAAACGCGGGGATTTGTGCGTGTGTGTTGTGGTCCACTGTATAAATAAGAGAAAATAATGATTGTGTTTTGCTTCACTTGCTTCTGCTGCCGTGCTGTGTGCTCTGTATTGCCGCTCCCCGTTTCCGTCACGTTGAACGCATCGCGGACGCACTTATATGCACTGCATGCCCAAAACTGTTTGCATGGACGCATGTCCGTGTGTGAGTGCATGCGCACAGGATCCATTTGGTGCAGTTGTTTGTTTTTTGTGGTTTTACTTGTTGTGACTTTATTGCTGTTTCCTTAGTGTTTTTTGTTTCCAATTGTTTTTTGTGTGTTTTTCTTGCTGATCAATTATTGCGGAGCTGTGTGTATTGTTTTTCTTTTTGTTCTTTCACTGATTCCAACTGCCTCATGGTATGTGCAAGCTGCTGCCGCTGGTGGTTTTTACTGTGCCGTGTCTCTCCTTTCACTCTGCGTTGGCGGGTTTTTAGTTTGTGCTGAAGGCTGCAGGCAAGTGACAGGAGTGATGGCGATGATGATGACTGGCCGTGTGCTGCTGGTGTGTGCCCTCTGCGTGCTGTGGTGCGTTGCCGGTTTTGGGCACGCAAGTGACGAGTACGGAAGTGAGGGTGGAGGAGATGTGTTGACGCGGACGAATAATGGTGGAGGCGACAGAGTGTCTCTAAATGCGGAATGCCGGTTATTATCCACCTGAATTGGACTAATGAGAGCTGCTGAAGCTGCGGACGGCGATGATGCGATGAATGACACATCCTCAGCCCTGGCTCAGCCGGCCACCTCAGCGTCTGGTGCCGAAGGAAAAGGTGCCGCAGGTGCAGCAGCACCCTCGCTGGACGCTGGCGTATCAGAGGCGGATGAATATAAGAAGGAGTCCAATGCATTTAAAGCAAATGGAAATGCAATAAATACGGGGATCCTACGAAAGGTGCGGCAAATGAGTTTCAATTTCGCACCGCCGGTCAATTGTCTTCTTAATCCGGCAGCACTGCCACTCCACCGGTTGGGGGAGAGCCCCTTCCGAGGATAATACCCAGTCGGAATGAATGGCGCAATGACACACCGAGAGGAAGGAAAACAAATTATTGCGATAATCCTTGCAGTGATGGAATGGGGAGGCGGAACCAGACGGAGAACATGAAGAAGTGGAAGAAACAACCGCAGCAAGGACACGATGGACAAGATTTGCAACAGTGGCAACAACAGCAATAACACGAATAAGAACAAAGTGCACTGCCTGCCTCACTCACTGGGCCACGGGCAACGAGAAGGTTACAGGCTCCCGCACAGCTACGGGAGCTACAACGGGAGGAGCTCGCCGCCGCCTTAAACGAGCGAATGAGAAGAAACGTCTTTTAAATTGTCATGCACAATACAACAAAAGTACTTAACGACCACACATCACCGTACGCTTCTGTAGGTGCTAATGGTGCTGCCACTTCTGTGACGGACGAGGAAGACGCGAAAGCTCAAAAAAATGCTGAAACCACTCAAAAGGCACCAACAGAAGAAGTCCGCCAGAAATGAACATCCCGCGGAAATCGCGAAGAATCCGCGAAAGACAAAACTGCATTGGCACAAATGCAACTGCAGTTACGGACGACAGTGACAGCAGCACCGCGGTCTCCCACACCACCTCCCCTCTTTTGCTTCTTCTTGTTGTGTGCGGCTGCTGCTGCGGTGGTGGCCGCGTGAGAGTGAGGGAGAGAGAGCCGTGCACCGCCCGCACACACACTCCTCTTCCTTCTCTCTCTCTGTGTGTGTGTCCCCTTGCATGGACTCTCGCCCTCACCTCACCCCACGAAGCACACACAATAATGTGCCCATTGTATATATGCATGCACACCCATGCAGGCCCGTTGGTGCTCTCTTTTGCACGACACGCACCGCTGCCGTCCTGCCTGGCTGCATGGGCGGAGCACCGTAACTGTTTCTGTTTTGTTTTTATTGCATTGAGTGGGCGACCTCTCTCTCTCTCCCTCTGTGTGTGTGTGTGTTTTGCTTTACGGGAGCAATGAGAGTGTGTGCGCTGGTCGTCCACGCTTCGGCTTTTTTTGTTTTACGTGTGGTGTGGTTGAGTGCACCCATTCCATTGCCCTTTATTTGATTTGTGGCTTGCTTTGACGGTGGACGCCTAAATTGTTTGCTTTTTGTGTATTATTATACTGTTCCTTTATTGTTGAGAGAGTGTCAGCCTCTTGTATTCTTGTAACGCCACTGAGTTTTTTTTTCTTTTACATACGCCATGCGTCATTTGATTCACGCCACTCTGCGGCCTGCATTGCTTTTGGTTCTGCTTGTGATGATGTTTGTGCTGTGATTTGTCGGCGGGTGTCTTGCTGTCAGTCTGACTTATCCTTCGTTTCTTGACGATTTGTTGCGTGCTGACGGTGCGTGGGCGTCTCTGGTGATAGTGAGGGCCGCATGTCTCAGAGCGCAGGATGCGTCGCGGGTGTGCGGCGTCGTTTGGAAGTACCGATGGGTGACCATCCGCATCCAGGCGTCATCAACGGACTGTGAGGGCAGCAGGAGGCACTGCGGCTTCTTTTGGCTTTGCACAGAGAGTTTATTGGACGGTGCGTTTGTTTTCAATCTTTGCAGCTTTTGTGGGGAAGGTGGGAGGCTGAGGGCATTAGGACTGAATTCATTTGAGTGGCTGCGTTCCGTTGAGTTGCGGCCAGTCGTGGCACTCTTTTGGGGTTTGGCGGCTCGTCTCTTTGTTTACTTTCCACCGCAGCAGGTGGAGGACACTGATCCGAGGAACATTTGTTTGACTGCGTGTGAGCCGCTGCCGTGCGTGGTGCATGGACTATGTGATTGTGTGGGGAGGTGCGTTGGAGTGACGAATACTTCTGTTTGGCGTGTCGCGGTGTGTCGGAATGATGTTTGGAAGACATGTGAAGGGTGTTGTTTGTGGTTTGTGTGTCTTCTCTGGTGGAGCCGACATGTGTGCGGGGATTGTGGCATTGCTGGCTGACAGTTCCACGTCACTTTTCAGCATTCCTGGATGTGCTGAGGAATGACGGCTGGCGACCAGCGTGTTGGTGCTGCCGGTGGGAATAAGTGCATCAGGAATGGGCCGTTTTCTCTTTTCCGTGCTGGAGCCGATGAACTGGCACGAGGGCACCGGCTGCAGGCTGCTTGCCAGCACGTGCGAGCAGCGGATCCATGCACACACCGATGCTCATCGCAAGAGCTTGTGCGATCACGGTGGCTTTTGTGGCGTGCTTTTGTGGGCGTCATTCCGTCGAAGAATGTGTGAAGCAAACGGCTGACTGCACACGAGGAAAATAATTGCGTGCACTGTGCCGTGTTCCATCGTCGATGGCAGAGCGGCAGGAAGCCCGTGCTGGCAACTGAGATCTTTGCGTCGCGAGGGATGTCGGTGTTGATTTTGGATCGTCGAGGGGGAAGTGATTTTGCTGCTGCCCGTGTGTGTGGCCACTCCGGCGGAGGGCGGACACAAAAGGGAAGGATGCAGGCGCTGCGTGTGCGTGTGCAGGTGCCATGCAACAACGTCACAACAGACATGCCGCGACTCGGTGACCCTCACATCGCTGTGGTCCTCACGAGCAGCCGAGGCACGGCCCACATCGATGCACTTATTGGACGGAGTGAGGCATCTTTGAGGCGCTGCAGGGAGCAGGATGTGTTGACGCAGCCACGACGTGCATGGAGTGTCACGATGGCACAGTCAGCTGTGGCTGGTGGAATAATTACTTCTCGGATGCAACAGAGAGAGAGAGAGCTGCTCCTGCTGCTGGCGTCGTTGCTGCCTTTTGTGGCCTCTCATGCCGATTATTGTCTGTCCGCTGATCATGGGTGGTGTGCCTCCACTAGTGACGTCGTCTGCAGGCATTCCACAACACCAGTGAAACACACATCACGTCGCATGCTTTGGCTGTGGATATGGTGTTGTGAGTGCAGCCGGCATTATTTTGCCCGACTCCTTTTCACTGCCTTGCGACAAATAGATGCGTCTCCGCCCGAGTTATTCACTGCAGCTCCGTGTGTTGTACTGCCAGCACATGACTCTTGTGTTGTCTGACGCCTGGCTGACAGCCCAACACCACTGCGCTGGGACATGCAAGGATGTGGACTGCCGCTCACGGTGTTGGGCACCGCTGTTTGGATGCGGCGGCCACACGAGCGGATGTATTGTGGCACAATGAAATGCGTGAAATACGCGGAATCACAGCGGCCGGAATAATATCAGCGGTGTGGCACCACGGAATGTGTGAGGGGGTGATGCATGATGAATCACAGTGGGCGGCATGCGAGGGAAGTGCACCGCGACGGAGCGTCATCCCGCCCTCAGCCTGCAGGGGAATGTGCACCCACAAAATATATGGTCGAGGCACCACCAAACACACATGCCCTTCCATGCACCAATAAATAGGAGCGGAGGTGCGTTCTGGTGCGTGGGAGTCCACTCACATATTCTCATTTCCACCGCAATCAACGGTGAGGAATCAGGTGCCACAGCGACGAAAGGAAACACAAACATCTATTGCAGCACTTTACCAGCGAAAGGCAGGAACAACACACACCGAATTGTTGGCTGCACCAACACAAGAAACATTCACAAGAGGAAAATAATTGTGCAACCTGGAGGAACCCCAAGACACGACCTAGCATGGAGGTTTGCACACACAAAAAAACAAACCAACATGTGCACACATCTGTCAACATCCAAACAGAAACACAAATAAATGATTGCTTGCATTATTCCATTCCTTGCGCTTGTTTTTACGTGCGGCTGCTGCGGTGGTGGCCGGCCTGCATGCAATTGAGTGCGATGAATGTGGACGAAGGCCTACGGCAACTGAACTGTTTTTGTGATGAATATTGGCTGCACTTCCCGTGGACCAACAATCCGCGTGGTGTGCGGGGATCTCCTTTTTTATTGTTACTATGCTTTTGTGTTGCTGTGTGCGCTGCACCTTTTCGTGTGTGTGTGCGTACCCTCCGTGAGGGGTGCCGACACGACGGACCGCTCTCGCCGCATGTGCGTGCGGTGGAGCCTTGTTTGCCGCTCCTGTTTGCTTCTCCCTCTTCCATCTGTGTGTTGGTGTTGCGGCAGGGCTGTGTGTGTGTGTGTGTGTGTGTGCCTGCTGCCGTGGATTGGAGTGTGTGTCGTGCGTGGTGTGCGGCGTACGGTGCATGCCTGGCTGCTGCCCTCTCCTCATGTGGTGTGCCCTCTGTGTGTGTCTGCCGCACCTCTCGTCTCCCCTGTTGCTCTCCATGTCCCTCACTGTGCAGATCAGCTCCACACCACTGAACGACCACACTCACGATGATGACGTGCCGTCTGCTGTGCGCCCTGTTGGTGCTTGCCCTGTGCTGCTGCTCGTCCGTTTGCGCGTCAGCGGAACCGGAGCCTAAAGTTGATGGTCAAGCTTCCCAGACGACCACGCCGACGATAACACAGCCACAAGTTACTGATGACAAGGCTATTATTCAAGCTGTTGGAGAAGCCACTGGTGAATCGCCGCTCCTATTAGAGGGAGCGCAGGGGGAAGGTCAGTCAGGACCGCCTGCAACATCAGTGACTAATCCGTCTGCGATGCCAGGAGGAAATGGCGGATCGGGGCCGGGTGCGACTGGTTCGTTACAGGCAGCTGATAACGATGGTACGACAGGGCCACAGGGTAGCAAGGGAAAACCCGCGGATCAAGCGAATGAGAACGCCGAAGGTGGTGTTGACACGACCACTACGACCATCACAACACATGCAGCAGATGATGAAGACAAGGCTACGCCTGATGCTGAAGCTAATAAAAAAGTTACTAGTTCATTGCTCCCTGCACCAGAGAACAGTCGGCCTGAGGCTGCTGAAGAGTCAGCCACTGAGCCGGCCCCGGGAAACATTTTGCCAGAGGCGCCACGTTTAACTGTTCCGAGACCAAAAGTAAATCCCGAGTACAATACGGTACAGAAAACGGGTACGAACGGTACTGCAGGACAGGAAAGTGGTACGAGTACATCCACAGAACAAGCAAATAAGGAAACCGAAGATGCGGTACCGACGAAAACGACAAAAACTAAGACGAAGGCAACAACCACTACGACCACCACTACAACAGAGGCACCAAGTACTACGACTACAGAGGCGCCAGCTGTGTCGACCACCCGCGCACCGTCACGTCTTCGCGAAATCGACGGCAGCCTCAGCAGCTCTGCGCGGGTGTGTGCCCCGCTGGTGCTCGCCGCATCCGCGCTGGCGTACACCACTGTGGGCTGAAGAGGTGTGTGCGGGCTGTGCGTGCCAGCACTCAACCGCGGGGATTTGTGCGCGTGTGTTGTGGTTCACTGTATAAAATAAGAGAAAATAATGATCTTGTTTTGCTTCACTTGCTTCCGCTGCCGTGCTGTGTGCTCCGCGTTGTGCCCCGCATCCGTCACGTTGAACGCATCGCGGACACACTTACAAGCATGCGCACTGGAGCCCTGGGTTTGTTTTTCTTTTCTTTTTTAATTTCTGTTTTTTAATTATTGTTTTTATTGCTTTTTAAACTTGTGGTTTGCGGTGCGGTGCGCGAGCTCTGCAATCGTACTGATTCCATGTGACTCGTGGTGTGTGCGCTGCTGCTGCTGGGGTGCTGCCATTTGTTGCTGTGCGGTGGCTGTGCGTGGTGTAGCGGCTGTGTCTATCTTTTTGCTTCCCTCTCTGTTGGCGGGGAGTTATTTTTTGCTGAAGGCTGCACGCAAGTGACAGGAGTGATGGCGATGATGACTGGCCGTGTGCTGCTGGTGTGTGCCCTCTGCGTGCTGTGGTGCGGTGCCGGCGGTGGGGATGCCGATGGCAGTGCGGTTGAGTATTCGCTCTTGCGGTGGCGCGCTCAGCTGCGGAAGAGATGCGCGGAGGAGGTCGGCAGGAGGACATGAGGCGAGGCGAATGCGTCCGCCGTTGGGGAATGCCTCCGTCAAGGGTGGACGGTGTGCGTGCCGTTGTGGATGGCCGTAGCCGTTGGAGGCGTCAACACTCTGCCGTGGCTGCTGCTGCTGATGGTGGTTCTGGTAATGATGAGGATCATCGCGAAGAGAACGACGACAAATTGAAGGGATTGTCTTTTTGAGGCCACACGTTGCAAGCAGAAAAGAAGAAGCCAGCAGGAGGACGGGAAGAATTTGCAAAAGTGCCGGGAGGGGAAAATAATTTGAAAGCAGACAAGAGTGAACCAAATTTCGAAAAAGACAAGGCGACCTCAGTCGTCAACCCCGCCAATCCAACTGGAATTCAAGAGTTGGTAGAATTGCCATTGACTGTTGCGGGCGACAGTCAAAATCCAAAACACGCTGAGCATGGACTTTTCAACGCCAATTCAAGGCTTGTGGGCGGCGTGTCAAAAGACGGCCAAACAGAAGGTGAAGATGGCAGGGGAAATCAACCACCATCACCACCACCAAAAGAAGGCACAGAAGCGGGGCTCTCAAAGCCTTTAGGATTAACTGAGAAACGGACACCAATTCCAGTGGAAGAAAACTTAAGGCCACGAGACGGAAGTCACTCACACAAAAAGGAGATGCTTCAAAAGAAAGATTCTTCAGAGCACGAAGAGGGAGAAACAATTTCCTCGGATACACAGCGGAGTGCATCCAAAGAAATTCCAGAAGCTACAACTCCATTATCCGCCTCCAAATCTGGCAGCGGTATTGCCGGAAGCACGGTGGAGAAGGGTGGTGTTAACAATCCTCAACCTCCTGCCGCCTCAGTAACACAACATGATTCCGCGGGAGATACTGGCCCCGCTGCTCTGCCAGCCAGCACCAGTGAATTGCAAGCAGAAGAAATACCCAACGCTGGTATAATTTCCACGACAAATGATGACGACAGCGACAGCAGCCCTGCAGCTTCTACTGCTGAAAGGCCTACCGCTGGCACAAGAAGCACCCAAGCCTCTGGTGATGCGAGTGACCGTGAACAGTCTAATAACGACGACGTCAATGATGACGTGGCACACAATGATAAGACTGTAGAATTTGAAACCGCTTCAGGAAACAGGGGCACTCAGGCAGATAATGATGAGAGATACACAACAGTACCAGAAAACTCCACCAATAAAACAATCAATACAGAGATCACAGCCGACAGTGACAGCAGCACCGCGGCCTCCCACACCACCTCCCCTCTTTTGCTTCTTCTTGTTGTTGCGTGTGCGGCTGCTGCTGCGGTGGTGGCCGCGTGAGAGTGAGTGAGAGAGAGCCGTGCACCGCCCGCACACACACTCTTCCTTCTTTCACTCACTGTGTGTGTCCCCTTGCATGGACTCTCGCCCTCACCTCACCCCACGAGGCACACACATAATGTGCCCATTGTATATATGCATTCACACCCATGCAGGCCCGTTGGTGCTCTCTTTTGCACGACACGCACCGCTGCCGTCCTGCCTGGCTGCATGGGCGGAGCACCGTAACTGTTTCTGTTTTGTTTTTATTGCATTGAGTGGGCGACCTCTCTCTCTCTCCCTCTGTGTGTGTGTTTTGCTTTACGGGAGTAATGAGAGTGTGTGTGCGCTGGTCGTCCCACGCTTCGGCTTTTTGTTTTGTTTTCCTTTTTGATTTTGTGGTTGAGTGCACCCATTCCGCGGCTGCGTGTGTGTGTGTGTGATGATATGAGTAATTTGCGTGTGTGCTATCTGCCTCTCTCTGCCTCTCTCTGCCGTTGCTTTCTTCAGACTCTCTTGTGCCGCACAGCTGCTCTGCAAGTATAGGCGCTGGAAAACACATGCACACACACGCCATTATGCACACGCTGTAGAGAGGCGTGATTGCTAAGAATGGATGCACGCAGAGGATTCTGGCTGCGACGTCCCTTGCGAGGAGGGAGTACGGGAGCCTGCGATTTATTTTTTGACACGTTGCTGGCGTGCAGTCTATTGGGTGGTGTGGCTTGGGGTGTCTGGGACAAGTGTGGATTGCTTCTCGTCCAGCAGCTGTACGTGCCAATGTGTATCTCCCATGCTGAGTATGCTTTGGTCAGGGATTCTTTGCCTGTGTGGGTGATGTGCGCTGGCGGATGCGCTGGAAGGGTGAACAGTAAAATGACTGGCGGCAGCGCGTGGGCTTTGGGAAGGACTGTTGTGCTCTTGCATTCCGCTGGTTGTTTTGTGTGTTTGTGGTGCTGGGTGTGTGCTGACGCGTGGCAGAAGCACCCGCCGTGGCTTCTGCTGGTGGTGACAGTCGCTGTGTGTTCCAGGTGTACTGTTCTCCCTTCTGCTGTTCCGTGTGTCTGTGTGCGTGAGTTGTTGTTGTTGGGAGTGACTGCGGCGGGGATGATGATGCCACTCACAGTGTGGATGGGTGACGGTGTTTGCTGTTGTACTTCTTTTCTTGATATTTTTTCCTTTATTTCTTTCTAACCCTCGCAAAGAGGGAAAACAATTGCTAATCGCTACTGTGAAATTGAAGGCACTGAAAGGACCAACAGCACACACACCGCCCACACACACATATTTATATGCTCTCACGTGTTGCTGCAGTGAAGGCACCCCGCACAAACAGCCGTCGCGGCGTGACCGGATCCAGCGGAAGGAGGAGGGGAGGAGGAGAGAGTGAGCGGCAGAGGCCCAACATGTCCCGGCGTGTGTTTGCTTCCGCGGTGCTGCTCCTCCTCCTCGTGATGATTTGCTGCGGTACCTGTGGAGGTGCTGCACTCGCGGAGGTTAAGCAGTCGTCTGATCCGAAGTTTGAATGGAAGGGCATCAGTGAAGGTGAAGGTGATGTAACTGTGGAGTCGTTGGGTGTTCCCGGCCTTTTGAAAGTGGGGAGTGGCGTATTTGCCGTTGCCGAGGCGCAGTGCAAGAAGAACAGTGTCGCTTTTACTGGCATAGCTTCCCAAATTATCACGAAAGAAGATGCTAGCAATCTGGAGGAAGTTCTGAAGGAAACCAAAGATAAAACGCAATTTCTGGAGGAAGTTGCTTCCGCAAGCGGTAGGAAGAGATTGGATGTGAGCCGGCCAACAACGGTTGTGAAGGAAAGTGAGATTTACATGCTTGTTGGGAAGTACAGCCAGAATGCTGCCGCTGTTGGTCAAGATGGTGGTGCAGATGGCTGGGGACTTTTGCTGGTGAAAGGGACAGTCAGTGGTGAAGAAAGTAACAAACAGATTGAGTGGAAAGATACTAAACGTCTTCAGTGGAAACCTTTAGGCGGAACTAACGACTCCTTGACACGACTGATTGGAGGCGGCGGATCGGGTGTTAAGACGAATGACGGTGCGCTTTTGTTCCCATTGGAAGGGACGAAGAATGACAAAAAAACAAAAATCTTTCTGCTGGTCATAGACCCGAGTGACACTGCGAGCTGTACGCTGTCGAAGGAGGTGCCTGATGATGGCTGCAGTGATCCCTCCGTCGTGGAGTGGAAGGACAAAAAACTCGTGATGATGACTGCGTGTGGTGATGGCCGCCGCAGGGTGTACGAGTCCGGCGACAAGGGGGAATACGTGGACGGAGGCACTCGGGACACTCTCGCGTGTGTGGGGCAACAAACAGGGCGAAGGGAAGGCCGTTGGGAGCGGGTTCATCACAGCGACTTTTGTTGATGGAGGTGAGCAGAAAAATGTGATGCTCGTTACTTTGCCGGTGTATCCCAAAGAAAATAAAAAGGGCGAACTCCATCTTTGGCTGACGGACAACACGCACATTGTTGATATTGGGCCGGTATCCGGGAAGGACGAAGACGTTGCCGCCAGCTCCCTGTTGTACAAAAGTGTTACAAGTGGAGATGATAATAAGGAGGAGTTGATTGCACTGTACGAGAAGAAGAAGGGCGATGAGAAAGAAAATCCATCGCCCGGTATGGTCTCTGTGCGTCTGACTGAGCAGCTGCAGCGGGTGAAGGATGTGCTGGCGACCTGGAAGAAAGTGGACGAACGTGTCTCCGAGCTGTGCCCTTCTGAGGGTGCTGTGCAGGTTACCTCACCTGAAAGTGCCTGCAGCACTAAGATCACGGATGGGCTGGTTGGCTTTTTGTCCGGCAACTTCTCTGAGAAAACATGGAGGGACGAGTACCTCGGGGTGAACGCCACAGTAAAGAAGGGAGCGGAAGAAGGCGTGCCAGCAGCGGTAGCAGAGACTGCAGGGTCTTCAGATGGAGTGAAGTTCACGGGAGCGTGGGCGGAGTGGCCTGTTGGCAGGCAGGGGAAGAATCAGCTGTACCACTTTGCGAACTACAACTTCACTCTTGTGGCGACGGTGTCCATCGACGGTGTGCCGAAGCAGGAGGGCCCCGTTTCAG